GGTGGGGGAGGGGCGGGCGGGGGTGAGGTCGGAAGGGAGAGAAAGAGAGAAAGAGAAACATCAATGTGAGAGAGACACATCAATTGGTTGCCTTCTGCATGCACTGGACCCTGGCCGGAGGCTGAACCTGCAACCCAGGTAAGTGCCCTTGACAGGGAATTGAACCTGAGACCCTCTGATGTGAAGGTGACACTTTAACCAAGGAGCCACACTAACCAGGGCTATATGCTTTATTATATGTGGGTATTATCTTTGTTTGATATTAGATCAAGATTGCTAGTTGGGTTCAAACTTTTTATCCATTCTATCAGCTTTTAAGAGAGGAAAAAAATCTCCTACTATGGTTAGGGAATTTTAAATTTCTTCTTGTAAGGCTGTCTTTTTGTCTTGTTTGAGTTTTTGTTTTACGTGCAGAGGTTCAGCATTTTCTGGTATTGAATCTTTCTTTCTCTAATAATGTAAAGATTCCTATTATCTTCAATAAAGCCTTTTTGTCTTAAAGTCTGTTTTAGTCTATTAATATTCTTATACCAACTATTAGCTTCTTTTAAAAGCTAATGTTTGCTTTGTTTTCTTTTTCTGTTCCATTTACATTTAATTGTCCTAAGTCTTAAAATCTAAATAATAATATTAATAAAAATAGCTAAAATATGTATTGAAACTTACTATATGCCAGGCACTATTCTAAATTCTTTTATGTATTAAATAATTTAATTCTCGTGATAATCCTGACAATTTCCCCACTTTATAAGGAAGCAAACAAAAACACAATTAAAAAGTCAATTTACAGATTTTCCAACTGCTCCCTGAAAACTACAAGGACCTTAAATCACTAATTCCTTTCTGCTCCCTCATCTATTTTCTGTGCTATTATGAAATATTATTTGTTTTTAACTCACCACAGGTCATATTGTTTGTCTTTTGCTTTACAGTCAGCACATTTGTATTCATATTTTAGTCATTAAGTTTACAATTAAGAATTACTAATTTGTTTGCTAATTAATTTTTCACCAGTATGCTTTGCATTCCATCCTTTACCTGAGGTTTGGTTTGCTTCTTATAGAGTACATTCTTCAGTAATCCTTTCAAGAGAGTATCTGTTAATGGTAATTCTTAGACTTTATCTGAATATACCTTTATTTCATCTTCACTTCCTGAATAAAAAGATCAGCTGTGATTTTAGGCTGGTATTATTATTCCATTTCCTATTGTAATGATGGGAAGTCTACTATCAGTCTGTCATTCCCTTGTAGGTAATTTGTCTTTTCTCTGGTTGCTTTTAAAATTTTCTCTTTGCCCTGACCGGTTTGGCTCAGTGGATAGAGCGTCGGCCTGCGGACTCAAGGGTCCCGGGTTCGATTCCGGTCAAGGGCATATGCCTTGGTTGCGGGCACATCCCCAGTGGGGGGTATGCAGGAGGCAGCTGATCGATGTTTCTCTCTCAACGATGTTTCTGGCTCTCTATCCCTCTCCCTTCTTCTCTGTAAAAAATCAATAAAATATATTTAAAAAAAATTTTTTCTCTTTGTCTTTAATGCTCTAGAGTTCAGCATGATATGATTAGGTATGGATTTGTTTTAGTTCATCCTGCTCAGACTAAGCATACTACCCTAATCTGAAAATTCCCTTTTTTCCTTAATTATGAAAAACTGATGGACACAGACAATAGTGTGGTGAAAGCCTGGTTAGGGAGCGGGAGTAGAAAGGAGGGGGGTCAAGGGGCAAAAAAAAGGGGACATCTGAATACTCTCAACAATAAAGATAGATAAAAAACTGAGAATTCCATAGAGCCTTTGTTTTATATGGGTTAGATCTACCAATCTTTACCATATAATAAATAAAAATAGAGAACATTAAAAAGAAAAAAGAAAAAAACAGATAGTCCTTATCTCTTATAATACTGGTTCTGCCCCATTCTCTCTACTTCCTCCTTGTGGAACTCCTATTTGACATAGGTTGGAGCTTCTTCCTCTATCAATTTTCTGCATTGTTTGATCGTATTCTCTTTATATCCCTGTGATGTTACACTGTTGCAGTATGGGTGACTTCTATAGATCTATTATGTAACTTATAAGTACTCACTTTAACTATACAGATTTATTGTTTATCCCTCTACCTTAATTATCTAAAAGTAAGTCTGATGCATTCTTGGGAGTAAAGGAGAGAAAAAATGTACCATTCTTCCTTTCCTCTGAAAAGCAAAACAGTTTGGAGAAATTTGCTAAGGGGGAAGAGAGGGCAGCAATACAATGACACTCACATACATATATAATACATATGCATATGTATATATGTAATGATAAATAAATGAATATGTATGCTGTAGGGAGCGGCTATAGGGTTAAGCCTCGGACTGACCTGTCGGCAAAGCCACAAACAAGTCCCAGCTTAGAGGGCACAGCCCTCTTAGCATAATTAAGCTTGACCTTATAAGCTCCCTAGATCCTTCCTAGGTAGCTAATGGGCTGCCAAAACAATGAACTCATAAGAACATTGTAACTATGGTGACCACTACCTTGTTTACCTCTGGCTATAAAATAAAGGCTCAGCTTGCTGTCTGTATCTCTCTCTGTGGCCTCAGCCAGGCACAGGAGATCCACCTAGACCAGTGATGGTGAACCTTTTGAGCTCGGCGTGTCAGCATTTTGAAAAACCCTAACTTAACTCTGGTGCCGTGTCACATATAGAAATTTTTTGATATTTGCAACCATAGTAAAACAAAGACTTATATGTTTGATATTTATTTTATATATTTACATGCCATTTAACAAAGAAAAATCAACCAAAAAAATGAGTTTGCGTGTCACCTCTGACACACGTGTCATAGGTTCGCCATCAATGACCTAGGCCCAGCTTATTCTCTTTGTCTGTCTTTTCTTTAATCCTTCGCCACCCCCCATCAGGCTCACCGAACCCTTGGCTGTGTTGGCACAGCACAGTATGTGTGTTTATATCTTAAATGTATGAGGTGGAATCGGTCACCTCATTTTTGGCCCATGCAGAGTAAGTAGAGGGATGACGTAGAATCAGATTTTTCCTCTTTTCATAACTACAAATGGATTTACATTTAATATTAAGTCATCTGTTGACATACAACATGGTTCAGATGTATATAGAACGTACATATCAATACCTGGAACAAGGGTATTCCAGACTGAGAGAACTGTAAGTACAATGACCTTGTGGTGGAAAGTGGCTCAGCATGATTAACGAATAGCAAGAAAGAATAGCTAAAGTAGTGTAAACTTGGGAAGGTTAGTAGAGAATGAGGCAGGTGATATGCTCAGGTATTAGATGATGTATGGCCTTAAAAGTCATAATAAGGTTTTGAATTATATCCCAAGTATGATAGGAAGTGAGTAGTACCTCAAATGTCCTTGAAAATGTTAGATAAAAGTGTGTATTAAAATTGTACTTTATGTTTTGTATAATATTTAAAAAGTGAGGATTGTTAATAGAAGTTATGACTTCATTTGGAACTTAATTTACTTCGTAAGAGTTAGGCTTTCTTATTTCTAAAATATGTATAAGATGACATAATCTGATATAAGAGCCTAGACAGAATTCTCCTACTTTGAGACTTCTGTGAGATACATATAACAAAGAGTATATAAAACACAGTTTTAATGAATAATTATAGTGAACCAGTGTAGCCACAAGATAGACTAAGAAATAGAATATTACCAGCTCCCCAGGAAACCTTGCTATATGACTTTTAAAAAAAGAGCTTACTTAGTACTATAATCTGTGATAATTATCCACTTAAATGTCAACTGGAATCATGTGACCAGTCTTTTTATAGGCAAAAGGAATGTTCCCTTAAGTCCATATTTAATTTCAATATGGAAATTAAATAAAGATCCACTTAAAATCTATTCACATTTCACTATAGAGAAGTGCCATCTCTAAAGCACTAATTTTTATTTTTAAACATAAGTTATATCAAGTGTATAAAAAACAACTATAGAACTTGAAGAAAATGTATACATCTTCATATATTTTTGTGAAAGCAAATCTAACAGTGATAGTTTTAAGATAAAAAGCATTTGATTAAAGTAAAATAAATGTCACTTAAAAGTTTAAGATCTCATTATGGGTTTCATTACAACAAATTAGGTAAAATGAGAAGACTTCTTTGTTTCTGTGTAGCTTCTAGTATATGCTTAGCACTCAATAAATGTGAAACAATAAAATATGAATTAGGCTAATCACAGCATATCTTAAATATATTTTATTAAATTTGAGCCTACTTAAAATTTTATATTATAGAAACTTGACATGCCACTGATTCATAACCTTTTCCAGTATTAAAAATTAAACCTATGAAATCTAGATTTCTATATCTTTTAAATAAACATTTAGCAATAAACTACCAAAGAAGAAAAACTATGTATGGTTAAATGTAAATTAACAATACTTTAAAATAAAAAAATTAATATTAAATTAGGTTATTCTCTTATGGAAAATTCTACAAACCTTTTGCAAATTCATTTAAAATAGTAAAAAAAAAAAAAAAAAAAAAAAAGAGAAGGCAATGAAATATAATAAATAAAGCCAACTACATAAAGATACACAAAATGTGAATAAAACTAAATGGACAACATGTATAAAAATAACATTTAGAAGTATCATTCTTAAACTGTATAGTGCAGCGGTACCTGAATTATGTGCCCTTTAATTTATGCACATGATGGATAGCTTGTTAAGAGGCATATCTGTAACCATTATAATTGATAGTAGCTGAAGGCAGTCAGGCCATAATTTCTATTTAATGGATGGAATAGAAAGGGAACAAAGTCTGCAGCAGCATTTTAAAATAAGTGTCTAGAAAGTTTACATTTATGTCCAAAGTAATACCTATATTCTACCCTTTTCTATGTTGAATTCTTTAAGAAGAAAAAAATCAGCTGCAGCAATATTCATGTATTATTAAATCAAAATTTTGATTTAACCAATACCTGAAAAATATTACAGTAAGTGGGAAAGAATGTTTAACTAACCATTTGTAGGTCCATTTTTGTGCTCTTGTTCTTTAGAGTTTGTGGGAGAAGCATATGGGCTCAATCGACAAGTTCCAGTTGATGGAGAATAATTTGTAAAACCTCTTTTCCTTGTGATTCTTGAAGGCTCAAATGACTGGAAATAAACATTAATTTGGGACAAAAATATTTATGTTTAGTTATAGATCTTTGAAAATTCAGAAAATTTAACCAATACACTTTTTCTTATTCTTTCTTTTGGATTTTAGGTATAGTCAATTATTACCTACAAAGTGCACACTATTTTTCAAGTTATGTAGATATATTAGGTCTCCACACTAACTAGGCATCTCAATTTGCTATTTATAAAATTTTAACATTAAAAGTTTATTATCTTCTAGATACTATTTCCAAACAAGCTAGAGATAGAGGTAGCTGACTCTCCCAATTATATCCTGACTTTTGCTGTCAGTTGAACCAGAAGTAATAATGGGGCGAGGCCAGGGAAACTCTCAGATGTCGTAAAAAATCCCACAAGGAAATCCTAGGAAGGATCAGTAATGTCCTAAACCTTCACACAGTTGCTCTGTCACAGTGTCTTGTCTTATTGATAACCAAAATAATGTTCAAACAATTGAGTATGGAATTTAAGGTATTTGAGAATTTGGCCTATCTTACACAAATCCTCACTGCAGCTCCCTCCTCTGTGTTCTCATACTTCCTATTGGAGCTAGCAAATTTTTACGTTTCTGTTTGCCCCACTAAAATTTGAGTTCTTGAAAATAAATATCATTTCTTCATGTTTGTACCCTAGGGCTCAAAACTGTGTGATGAATAAATGACTTAAAAGGAACAGTCCAACAATATGCAGACGATGTATCATAGAATTATACACCAAAACCTATATAATTTTATTAACCAATGTCACCCCAATAAATTCAATAGAAAAAAAAAAAGAACAATCAAATAAATTTGGCCAAGCCACTCTACACATTCATTCTTTAGTTGATTCATCCAATATTAAATGGCACCTGTAGTCCCAGTATCTAGATTATGTACATTTGGGCCTTAGCCCTCTTGTTCTTATCTTCCCTAGGACTTAGTCTTTCGCTTAGGTCCCTATTCATGATCCACTTCTTCCAAATACCATTACCACATTACTAATTGCTTGCTCTTCTTAATTCCCTTTGAACTTGTTTTCTATAATGCTTACTAATCACCCAGCACTTGCTAACTAATGTATACAAAGAAAGAGAATAAACTGTTCTGGCCTTAGATAGTAAAGTTGTATGTGTGCTAAAGAAATTAAGGGGAGAGAGAAAATCAAAGTGGGCTGCAGTAACCTCAAAGAACAATTCTTGTGAGAGTAAAGGGTGAGGCTTGGATAAATGAAAATAAAATTATGAAAGACCTGAAATCTAGATGTAAAACAGACATAATAGGGTAGACTTGGGGGATAAAGGAAAGGTCTGAAGGCTCATGAGATGTTGCCACTATAGAATTGAACTTAGCTTGGTAGCTGTCTTGAAAGTTATATAATTCTCCACTGTCAACTATTCTTTATTTTTAAGACACCATGGCAGAAATAGTGGCTGTATCACATTTTTCAATAATCGTGGTATTAGTTCCCAAATCTGTAGTATCAACTTTATTTTACAGTTAAGATTTTAAATGATAAATACTTTCTATTGAGGGAACAAAAGCATTCCATTCTTTATTTTATGTACCCATAGTAGCCACAAGTGTAACCAATATCTTTTTAAAAAATCAAACTATAATATTAAGTTATAACTCTAACACAATCTTTTTTGTAGGGTGAAAGGGTTTTAAGTTTCTTTATCAGGTGGTTATTATTACCTCTCCATCTTGCGTTTTCACCTGTTTATATGTATTCAGTCATAAACTATGACATTTATCCAATCCTACCCTACTTTTCCAAGAATTTATTATCCAGAACTATTTCACTGTGTATGTACAAGAAATGAAAGTCACTACCCTAATGTACATTTATGTCAATCTGTTTTCCTATTTTCACCAAAAAATTATTTTTTCCAATTGCCAAATATCTAAACATTGTAACTGTAGATCATACATTTCTCCTTGAAAACAATTTTCTAGCTTTCATAAAATAAGTCTGTGTGTGCACGTGTGTGTGTATTTTTTTTCTTCTCTCACCTTAAAAATACTGAGGTGTCTCTTTTTTCCTTTTTAGTATCTGTGTTGGTTAAAAGGAAAAATACCTGTTTACAATTATTATATACAGAGTAATACATACTATCCCACTAAATATTCTTCAGTAAATAATTTTTATAAATCTGCCTACTGATATACACGAAGGCATAATTTTACTTCTGTAAGTCTCCCCTCTCTGAAAGTTGTATCAAGATCCTCTTTTAAACCTTAAAGATGCTTAAAAGTGACCTTAGAATTGATCTGAGACTGCATTCTGCCACCCCCCAAATGTTGAAGGACATGGCCTACTGATTAGTATCCCACAACAGGAAGAGTTAAGAAGACTGATGTTTGTAAGCTATTTCTAGTGGTTTCTCCATACAAACTACTTGTCTTGGCTCATGTTGCAAACTTTCTTAAAATCTTTCAAACAAGCAGCATCTGGCCTTGGGGAGCTCTTGCTAAGAGGCCCTAGGCCCAACACTAGGCACCCAGCCTTGGTTCATGGCTTGGCTCTCCTGGGCACTTCCAAGTCTAGCACAACTAGCAGCTCTCTGCAGATCTCTTTGTAGCTCATGCCAGGTGGCCCCAGGCAGGGCACACTCAGTGACTGACCTTGGCCTGCACCTCCCAGGAGGCCCCAGAACCAGCGCACTCAGTGGACAGCTTCAGACCATGCCAAATAATCACCCAACTACCTCCACAAGCAACACACTCAAGGGATGGACTCAGGGAGCATCTGAGATCTTGCTCCCTGGCATGAGTCATCGGTTTGGCTCAAATAAACTCTTATAAAAATTCTCCACAGGTTTGGCATCAACATTTACTTGGTAACTGGCAGTAATCTGAAGAAGCCCAACCAGGACCATCCCATGGACCTGGATATGGTGCTAGGTACAAGCAAGGTCCCATTATGCCCCACTGGCTCCTTGCTTTGTATCAGGAGATGAAGACTTTAAAGGTCACTGACTGCTACCTGGAGATACTGTTTATTGGAAAGGACATCTAATAAAAGACACACGCCAACCTAAATGTGAATGAACATCTATGCCTGTCTGTGGACATTAAAGACTCTTTGAGGATGAGGAGTCACTGACACAAAGGCAGACAGCTATCCCAAGTCATTGGCAAGGCCTGTATATGTACAGATTGATATTGAACTCAGAATCTTTTTGTTTGTCTTTACCTGTCTGCTAATGATATTAGTCATAATAATAGATATATTTGTTCTTTGGGTTTTCCTATGTAGTCCAAATGTTTACGATTACTGAGCATGTATATGATATCTGTTAATCCTCTTTCATGGCTCATGCAAATGTTATACTTAATGCCAAATACTGAAAGATGAGAAGGCAAAACTCGAATCATGATAGTTCAGAAGAGTATATTTTCACAATGAAGGCCATAAGACCTTACTGCCTTCCATTTACCTGCCCTTCCTTTTTTGGGAAATATTCTGCCTTGATTCAGATCCCATGATTACAGAAATTACCCCATCCCCAGTGGTGAACAAGACAATGTCAATACTGAGACTTCCTAGGAATGAGCCTTCCTACTGCTGTGAGACCACACTATCCAACCCAAAGGTTGGTCATCAATGCATCCTTCGGGCTGATTTCTGACCAAAAGGGGCAACCGTGGAGGAAAAAAAGGGTCCTATGAAAAGTAACCCCACAGAATGATCTGATCAAATTCCTAACTGGGCAAGTCATGGTGGGTAGTAAAAAAACAGACCTATAAGTTCTTTACTGGAAGGTTTTAGGGAGGCCCTGCCCATTATTCTTGTGCGCCTAAGTCAGGGATGGGGAATGTCCACCCCGTGGGCCCTATAAAACCTAAGAAATCATTTGGTCTGGCCCTGCCAAGATTTATCAAAATTCAATAAATCTAGGAGCTTTTTTCATAGCAACATGAATTTATATTAAGCAAATGATGTTATAAATACCCAAGTGGCCCTTAGCAGAAAAAAGGTTCCCTACCCCTGATCTAGGTTAACACACCTTTGAAATGCAAGTGGTGTATTAATCCTCAAGAGACCACATACTTGCCCTAGCTGGTTTGGCTCAGTGGATAGTGTCAGCCTGCGGACTGAAGGGTCCTGGGTTCGATTATGGTCAAGGGCACATGCCCAGGTTATAAGCTTGATCCCCAGTAAGGGTTGTGCAGGTGGCAGCCAATCAATGATTTCCTCTCATCATTGATGTTTCTCTCTCTCTCTCTTTCTATCTCTCCCCCTTCCCCTCTAAAATAAAAGAACACATACTCTTGTTAACTATCATATAAACCAATCCCCACCTCACTTTCTCCAATCTTCACATCCCCTCCTTAATTTCAAATGCATAAAAGAAACTGCAAAACTGTTTTTCTCAGAAACATTTGAGACCTTGTTCTATGGCTTGTGTCATCAGTTTGGCTCAAATAAACTCTTTTTTTTTTTTTAAATATATTTTATTGATTTTTTACAGAGAGGAAGGGAGAGAGATAGAGAGTTAGAAACATCGATGAGAGAGAAACATCGACCAGCTGCCTCCTGCACATCCCCCACTGGGGATATGCCCGCAACCCAGGTACATGCCCCTGACCGGAATCGAACCCGGGACCTTTCAGTCCGCAGGCCGACGCTCTATCCACTGAGCCAAACCGGTCTCGGCTCAAATAAACTCTTATATTTAAAAAAAGGGGGCAAACACAGAGGGCACCAGAGCCACACTAAAGTGAGTCCTGCTCCATGAAGTTGGTCTCTACAAAGCAGATCCTCCACAGTGGTCATGGCCAGTACTCCTAATTGATCAGCCTGGGGGTAAATCCTTCTCACTGATGTGCCCACAGCAAACAAGGCTCAACCACAACAGAAAGGTGCATACAGCCCACAGGGGATGCTGCGTAGTTGAAGTATCCAGCTTGTGTGACTGGGGAGGCTGTGCCATTGGGCATACAGGACATCTACTACATAAGATGACTCTATGGAGACCAGGAGACATAGCA